GGCCAAAGGGTCGACCCAAGCCCCCGTGCTGCAGGCGTCCGCAAGCGAAGCATAGGACAGGGGGTCCGCTTGGAAGTCGCCGGCAAAGACGACAGGGAAGTCCTGAACGAATTGGGCAGCGAAATCCAGTATCCTGGTGAGCAGCTCATCGTTGTGCTGGTGGGTGGGCTCATCCGAGGAGGCCCCAGAAACTCCATAGAAGTTGATAAGGAGAAAGCGGAGCCTCCCAAAGACAGCCCAAGATGCCTGGACGCGACCCGTAGCCAGCAGGGAGCCAAGGTGGCCGGTAACGTCCTTAGAGACATCAAAGTCGTAGACAACGCACGCCTGAGAAAGGACAGCGAGGCCACCCCACTCAACTCTTCGGACACCATTGACGTCAGCCGTGATGGGCAGGAGGGGACCAGGGGTAAGTTGGCGGTTCGCCTCCTGGGCCCGAAAACGGGCCGTGCGAATGTTGTCCGCCGAAAGGCGGGCCTCCTGCAGTAGGAGGACCTTGGCAGAGCAGTCAAGCAAGTCCGGATGTGCCAAGAAGGAGCCGACATTGTGCGAATGAAATGTGAGAGGCCCTTCGCCAGGAAAGCCAAGGGTAGCGTCAAAGCAAAACTGAGTAAAAAGAGTGGGAGCTGCCCAGCTGAGGGGCAGGAGGCAGCACCCATAACATAAAGAGACAAGGTGGACAGTGCGGCCCCACCGCAAGTGCCCCCAAGTACCAACAAAGCTGCGCCACAGCACAGAAAGCCAAAGGGGAGTAAGACCACACAAGGCCCCGTATCCATGGCAAGACCATGGGGCATAAGGGCAAAGGAGGGGAGCTCCCCTTTGGAAGAACCGGGTGCACAGACCCCCCGGGCGAAGGGGGGGGCTGTGAAGAACCAACTGGGCCGCAGGGGCCCCAAAGCAAGGTCAGGCTAAGCGCCCAGTCGGGCGGCCTTGAAAGCAGGGGCCGGCTCAGGGGAGCAGGCGCGGCCGGGCTTGGAGACTGCCCCCAGGATGCGAGAGAGCTGCGCAGAGACCTGCGAGAACTGTGTCTCAACCTTATCAGCAAGGGAATCCTGCTTGGCTTCCAAGCCGCCAAGTCGCGCCTCCAGGGCATCAACGCGTGCCTGGATTGGTCCCGCCAGCGGGGCCTTCGGTGGACCCGAGGTGGCAGCTGGGGTCTGAGTGTCAGCAAGGGCAGTGCGGCTTGGGCGTTGCCGTGGTCCAGAAGGCCGGCCAGTCTTGGTACGAGAGGAGGTAGGTGGCTCCAAGGCAAGGAGTACCTCACAGGGACGGCCCGCAGAGAGCAGGGGGAACTCCAACAAGGAAGGGAGGATCCTGGCCGAAAGCAAGGACCCAGACCAAGATGCCATTCCTCCGAACAGAACGGAGGGGTATGCACGGGACTCCAACAGCCTTGAGAACAGCCTCAGAGATGGCCCCAGGTGTGGCCCCAAAGGGCAAGCCCTCGGCGAGGTAGTTGACTCTGGGGACGAGGGCTCGGTTGGCCTCACAGAAACGGCTGCAGGAGGGACCGCAAGGTGGGCGTTGAGAATGCGCACCACCAGGCCACGCTTCAGAGGAGCAAGTCCAGCGAAGCCCTCAAGGGCGCGGGTGACCGCTAGTGCAGAGCGAGTACCATCGGGGGTGAGAGGCCAGAACCTGTGCACAATGGAATGATCAAGGGAGTCGCTGCCTCGTGCCAAGAAATCACGGACAAAGTGAGAGCTGATGCCAGAGAGCCTCAAACATGCAAGGCGAAGCCGGAGTGGGACTTTCAGAGTGATCTGAAAGACTCGGCCGAGACCGTGCGGAGAGCCCTGCAGGATTCTGAGGGCGTAGCAGGACTGCAAAGCACCGTCAGGGAGGAAGCCTTCGAGTATGCCACGAAGGTCAGACATAGAGCGCCCAACGTAAGCCGGGAAGTCAGTAGCAAGTTTCTCGAAGACCTCAACAACGAGCTCAACAAAGTCATCAGTGTCAATGATGACAGCATCAGCAGTGACAGGCCGGTAGACGATACCGGGAATCAGATGGACAAGGATGACCTGGCGCTTGTAAGTGGTCCCGGCCTGAGCATCCAGAACACTGATTTGCATGGGCCCTTCAACCGCCAGGTGGGAAGGCAGGGAAGGCAGAGTGGTTCTGGAATTGCCCGGGACGATGAGGGCAGTGGGGCCAACAACCTGCAGGCGGAGGCTTTCAGCGAGAGCACTGACAGGGCAGAAGGCCAGGCCAGACACCAGCGGTCCAAGTTGGCCTCGGGGGACCAGAGCAGGGACTTCATCATCCCCAACGAGCCCAAACGCATGGGAGGGGGGGAGCAAAAGATCCTCCCATTTGGCATGGGGTCGGGGTTCCTGTCGAGTGGAGAACCGCATAGGGCCAGGGAGGCCCGGGGGGGAGGCCCACGGGTCGCATCGGGTAAGGGGGTCCTCAGGGACCATCTCTTCATCCTCCGAAGGTGGCTCCGAAAGCGCGGGAGAGCGTGAGCCAGCTCCTCCTCCAGGCAAGGGAAACAAGCGCAAGGTGACATGAGCATCTTGCCAGCGGCTGACAGGGTCTGTGTCGGGGACACCACGCCCCTGGATGTAGGGTCGCACGTGCATGAGAAGGCGGTCAGGTAGGGTGTCCAGATGACTTGCCGGAGAGTGACGTGTTGTGGGACACTCCTAGAGTGTTCCCGTGGGTCGTGGAAATGGACAGTGACCTGGGGAGGACATTGGGACCGGAGCAGGTTGTGGTTCCAACTCCTCAGGTTCCTGTGCAGGAACAACAGTGAGGATGTGACCAGTGAGGTCATGGGCCGGCTCACGAAGATCCCACACTCTGGCAAAAGAGGAGAGAGCAACATGGGGAAAGACCACAGGTGGCATGCGAGCAGTAAAGAGAACCAGGGCAACAGTGGCACCAACAGGATAGGTAACCTCAACCCGAAATCCGCCCGGTGAGTAAATGGCGGTGCGGGCAACGCCCAGGCGGTAGGCAAAGTAGAGGAGGGGGTAAGCCTCCTCCCGGACCACAATGGGAGGACTTTGAAGGTTAGCCCTTTGTGCAACCTGTGGGTGGAGGGCAAAGTCAAGCAGGGGACCCAGTGGGCCGATGTAGTACCAACCCCTGACAACGGCAGCGTGGAGTTGTGGACCCCACATGCGACTCCTCCAAACCTGCAGCACAAGGTGCTCGGGCTCATGCGACACAAGCCCAAAGAGGCTCAACATGATGGCCCATGGGATGGCCGCTTGAGGGACCGAAATGGAGTTGCCAAGACCAGCAAACACATCCTCCAAGGGTGGAAGAAGTACCAGTGGACGAGTGGCACCCAGCCATAAATTAATAAAGCCCACTGGGCAGGTGAGAGGAAGGCAGGCCGCTCATCAAGGTGAGTGAGCTGGGCAAACAGCCCCCGGTCAGCAAGTGTGTCCGCAGCCAGCAGATGCTGTTGACTGTACCTGGCACAAAGAGTGCGCAGAGGAGCGTCGCGAGAAGGGATGCGACTCAGTAGGACATCACGCGAGCTCTCAAGTCCTGCCCCGGCAAGATATGCAGGATTGGTGTAGTACGGCAGGGTGGCCGCATCTAGAAGCCAAGCGTGGTCCATCTCAGGGGCTTCCTGAACCTGGAAGGACTCATGTGTCCAAGGGACCGGAGAGGGATCCTGGAAGAGTCCAACAGGCTGGGCGGCAGATCAACGTCATGACGGATTAAAACAGCAAGCCATCTGCGCCGAGTGCAGGGACCAAAAACAGCATGGTTATGGAGCATAGTGGTATGCACAGTGAATCCAGCCCATCGGATGAAGGCCAGGATGATGGGGTAGTGAGGGTGCACAGGGAGAGCGTCCACCCACTCCATCAACAGTGCCAAGGGGGCAGCACGCCGAGCCCACAACATGGTCTCCAGGAAGCAAACGCCTGCGGGAACTTCCAGGCCATCCCGGGAGGAGGCTCGAGACCAAGGGGGACAGGGAGGAGAGGCCGTGGCCACATGGCAACCAGTCCAGGGAACGACGTGGAGAAGCGAAGTGTCGCCAACATCGGCCAGGACCGCCACATGCGCAAGGGTGGGGACCCAGCTGGACATCCGTTGCAACTGCACCGCCTCAATGTCCAAGGTGGCCGCCTGGGCTGAAACCACAATTGGGGAGTTGTCCACCAGGACCTCATGAACCTCAAGGCCAAGGGACCTGCAAATGCATTCGAGGGCCTGGCCCCAACCATGAAAAGCACCAGCAAAGAGGTGGGTGACCGAGAGCGGTTCAGCCGGCAGGGGGCTCCCGATCCTCCATACAGCCGTATCCTCCTCAATCCGGGCCACGCGGGGGAGGGTGCCAGGTTGCAAGGTGACCCCAAAGGCACGAAAGTGCTGCTCACCCGGCTGCAACAGGGCCTGAAAGAAGCTAGGAGCCTGGAGTTCAAACGTGAAGAGAAGGCGCCGAGCACGTGGAGTAGCATGCAAGTCAGGCGGCGGGCCAGGGGAGAAAAGGGAACACTCCCAGGTGGAATCACCGGTTTGGGTATCGACCCGGAACTGAAGCAAGGCTTGCCCATGCCACATGAGAGGTTCGGCACTCTGGAAGAAAGTGCCCTGCTCGATCAAGCCATCGAGGGAGCCAAGAGCACGGTCCGACAAGGAGCCCAAAGCACGCAAGACAAGGGGGTCACGCGTCAACATGGCAGAGAGCCAAAGCCACACCGCAGAAGCCCAAGCACGCACAGGAGCCAAAAAGGCAAAGGGCAGGGGCAGCGAGGGGTGGCGGCCACAGGAGCAAAGGCGGGGCGGCGGAGATGGGTATCCACCTTAGTAGACGCGTGACGCTCCAGGGAGGAGTCGCCACGCCCCGGGTGCCCAGAACCCTGAGGCGAAAGACCTTGGAGCCAGACGCCTTAAGGGTACCCTTTTTGCTGTAGTCTATTTTAGTAGGGGAACCCTCCCAACCAAAAAAGGGTAAAAGGGCACTACTGAGGGACCTAGTCTCATGTTCGGAGAAAACAAACTCGGCAACCTGCTGAGACCAGCACCCAAAGTCCTGTCACCGGAGAGCCCCCCACCTCGATGGGGTCACGCGAAGCACGTGCGCGCATGTGTGCGTGCGTGTCTCTGTGTCTGTGTGGGTGGGTGTCTCAGATGCCCAGTGGCCATGGGAAAAAAAGGCATCCTTTTCTTGGTTGGTTGACTTTAAACGGGAACCCTTCCCCCAAAACAAAACAAAAAAGGCACCACTGGGCAACTGGGGTGTTGTGCCGCAATGCCCCCACTTAAGAGTTCATTCCTCTTGCTAAAATGGACATGCAGCCATGCATGGGTCCCAAAACCGTCCGGCACTCGGCCATACTTACCTCTGCAGGCTTTGAGATTTCAGGGTCGCATGCTGCTCCTCACATCCACGTTCAAGACACGCATGCACGTGAAAAACGAGTGGGGGGAGCTTCCGGGCGAAATGTGATGGATACCCAGCCTCTTTTCGCTTCGATTTGTCTGCCATGCTCGGCGGAAGCGGAGCAGGTTCCGATCAGCACCGTATGGTTTAAAAAAAAACTGCGACGCAAGGCGTGTGGAAGGAACTCCTCGGCGAGCGAGGGAATGCGCCGGACCAAGCGCGCAAGAGACAAATTCCGGTAACGTAGAAAGTGCGACACGTTGCACTTTGCCAGGACAGACTGGAGCCATTGCCTCTAGCGCACCCAACCTTCCATTTGCTTAAGCCCCCTAGAACAAAAACAACAATATGTCCAGTAGTGATCGATTTCTGTTAAACCAACAGGGGAACATAACACATATCATTAAACAAATGGAAGAAACCGCGCCGCAACGCAAGCACGGCCTGACTGCAAATGTTGACCGGGTATCCAAACGCTGGCTGCGCATGGCGACCTCTGCGCAACTGTAGGCATACCAGCAATGCCGATCAGCAGGCAGTCACAGCTCAACCACCCCTCTGTTCACAGACATGCTTCTGTTGAAACCTAATCACATGTGCAGCAGAAAGTTCCGGCTGCTGGTCTCACCTATGGACCACGTATGCAAGATTGGAAGCCCGACCATCCTTTCAGAGTGCGACCAATGCAGTTTGGAAGCAGCCTACGAAACACGTGGTGTTGGTCCTGGAAGTACGGAGCGAGCCAATAGGACTAGAAGGACTTGAACCTTCAACCTTCCGCCTACGTGGCGGACACGCTACCATTGCGCCATAGCCCCTCTTCACACAGCCTACTGCAAACCGAGATCCAAGCAAAGGGAGACGGTCTTTCTTGGTTGGCGTTGGAAGGGGAGCAACCATTCAAATTTTAGCAGTTTAGCGGGGATTTCCCACTGCACCAATTAAGCTCCGAGATCCGGGCGAAGGCGGCATACATCAAAGCGCCAAAGGTCAGGAGCGTCAAGATGCCGATCCTGAACGCCAAAATGCGCCAAAGAGACCCACGAGTCTTGGTGCTAAGATGGTTTCGGGGAGAAAGAAGGGTTGGGAGCTGCCAAGGGAGGGGTGGTGTGTGATATGTGTTTCTCTTTTTTGTGAGGTTTTTTTAAGGCCTCCCCATGTCGATTTTGGGTAAAGCGCTTGGCTTTGCGTTTGAATGCTGCATGAGTTGGTGCAAGTGGGAACCACTCCCGTTTGGGGTCCCTAAACTTGCACCTACAATGTTGGTTGTGGCTCACTTGGCCGGCCCATGCCGTTTGAGACATGAAGTGTGATCTCGGCCAAATCGCTTAGCCCGGTTATGAACAGAGGCTTCCTTTTGTTGCTTTCCAAGGGGGGAAGTTGCCAACCCCGGTTGCCTTTGCACCAAACTCACAGGATTCCTCAAAGCAAACCCTGCCACTCAGACACACCTGCGACATTGAAATGCGCTGGTTGCCCACAACATGCGTGGAAGAAGTTTACCGAGTTCAGAGCCCAAACGGACTTATCTGGAAACATTTGATCAACATATAACATATGCGGATACAAGCGATTTGGGAAGCCTTCGGACAATCGTCAGGGAGTTCTGTGAAGGGTTTGTCTAGGGAACCCCTAAAATTTTATGCTTCGCTGTCGTTTTGGTTTCCATCTGCAGCCCCAAAGCGACGGAGCCCAAGACCTAGGGTTCCGACATGGACACAGCTGCGATGGGCCCAAACGGTGATGATTGAATCGCGGGAGAAAAACCAAAACGAACACATACACTGAGCTGTTTAAATGCAGTACTCAACGTGATTGGGATGGTCAAATTGGAGGCTGCAAATTCTGATCTCTTCCCATAATCCCCATCGACCACAGTAATTGCAACCTTGGAACTACCAAATTTTCGGCCACGCAAACTGCTGCGTGCGCCGTGTTCGTCTCCTTGTATGCTGAAACCGGCCCACTCAGATTGAACGTCCAAGACTTAGACCCCAGTAAACCAAACATTTGTTTGTCATGGAATATCGCCTACACTTTGGGGGCCGACTAAGCTCAAAACATCAGATCCCCCGCTAAAGGTGACTAACTTTTAGTGGGTTGAATTCGGAAACCCAACCACTAAACCATACTAAACCAACTAAAAAGCCACCAAGCTAAGGCCCCGGATGGCTGGCAGAGGCTTTTGGACCCGGATAGCTGGGATGGCTGGGCCCGAGTCCAATTTCCCGCTGGGGTCTCCCGGCAAGAGGATGGTGCCCATAGCGGACAAGCCGTTCGAGTTCATCCAGTAGTTGAAACGATACCTCAGTCGCCCACGCAGCAAAATGGGCGCGCCTGTTTGCGGAGGGATACCCCTTTCGGAGACCAAAAGAAACCAACCCTGGGGGTAGCCTATTTTTTGTTAGAGACAAACACCAAGACTTACAGTCTGTGGTTTTTCAGGGCAAACCACCGTGAAGTCTGGGGTTCCCAGGAAGAACCTAGGCAGAGAAAGCAGGGCCGGGCTTGTGGGGCCTGAATATGGTAGAGGCTCGGCACCGAGTTCCACTTCGCATGTGAACTCCTGGGGTCTGGAAGCTTCATTTTGATCAAGCTCTATACGTGTGGAAGGCTTCCGCTGACTTGCCGAAACAAAACATGGCACCGCCATCTGTCTCTCTCCCTGTGGTTGGCTCCCAAATGGGAGCCCCCAAAATGGGGTGGCTTAGGGAAGGCCACTAAACCCTCCTCGGTTCAAGGCTTTCCTTCAAGAAACATCCGGTTGGGCGCTCGGTCCTTTAAATCCTTTACCACTCAGGTGGAGTGGCAAACAGTTTTGAACTTGTTGTTACTTGTAACACCAAAACGTTGGGTCACAAGTCAACCTGCACGGCCTTCCCAAAGAGTCCTTCGGACCAAGAACACACGTACTCCAAACCGCGGCTGGGTTGACCAAAATGGAGGCCATTCCCCCACCCCAAGGAAGACAAAGAGGAAACCACTGAAAACCCATGCTCAAGGTAAGTTTGGATTGCTCTTGAACAGTAGGGTGTCTGGTTTTTGAGTCTTGAGGCTAGTTTTGCGAACACGTTTTGAAGGGAACCAAAAGGAACACCACCATCTCAGGAAGGTCCCCTACAAGGCACACTCAAGGTGCAAATCAGTCCAACGACTGTGGGGTCAGTGCAACCGGGGCCCTGGCGTGAGGAACATGTTGAAGGACCTGCCCTTGGTCCATTGCCGGCATCGCCCCACCGCCCCCCAAGTAGAGAGGAACATGTTCATAAATCTTCAGAATCCCCTAAATCAGTTTGTGTTCGGGTGATTTCTTAGGCCATCTGGGTTACTGTACACAGAAAGACATAGTGTCTCATATCTCGGTCCTCCAGTAGAGAGGTTACGTAGAATAAGGATACCAACTTTTTTCGGTAGTCTACTTTAGTAGAGGAACTCTCCCCCAAAAAAGGGTAAAAGGGCACTACTGGGGGACCTAGAAGTCTTCTCGGCAAAAAATCGCTAATGGTATGCTGGTGATAGGTATGACGTAAAAATTGCCAGAGCTCAGACATTGACTTCAAAGATAACATGTTGAAAGGATATATGGGTGAATAATCACAATTCAGCACATCATGATACAATAAAATTCATATGTTTTCTCCAATCAGTTGAGATCGTATCACTAACATCAAACATCACATCTTCAACAGTCCTCTGGGCAAATTAGAACCGGAAGGGAAAATGTAGGCACCCCCGAATGGGGAAGCCGCCAACATGAATAAGTCGTTTGCTCTGCGTAGCCACACTTCCCTTCCAGGATTTCCGGAACAAACAACACGCTGTCAGGCATAGGGGAAAAACTTTGTGTGAATAAGACACTAGGATTTACTGCTCACTGGGACATTAGGTGAACTGTTGAATTTGCAGGTGACCTCTTTCCCGAAAAGTGCCGAAACCATAAAAAGAGAGGTCACTCCAAAGAAGCTGGGCATTTGAATTTGGATTGAATGCTGTTGAGGAGTTGCTAGCTGAGTGTGGCAAGAAGCGGAACTCTGCCATGCCAGCCCCGCGGAAATCCCTGAGCAATCAAAGACAGAGGATTCGGGGCCAAACCGCTCCCTATATTTCCCCTTAAAACTGCACCCCCACCAAGGGACACTCACCTTTCATGGGCCAAAAAGGTGATGCTTAAGACCGGCAAAGGGAAATATAGGGACCCCCCTGAGTAATTACTACGATTCACAAACACAAGATGAATCATCCAAGCACTGGACATTCACCTTGGGCCAGGGCGAGTTGCCTTCGTTGCAATTTGTGTCGCAACATTTGCCCATTCCAGGTGTCTAACCCAAACCATAATCTACCCGACTCGGCTTGTGCAGAAGCTGGGTGCCCAAAATGGTTGGACAAATCCTTAATAGGGAGCCCAGAAATGTTTGGTGGACATCGACCCCCACCTAAATGATGCCCATATGAGTCACAATCAAAACCCGGTACTAAAATGGTTTACCCAGAACCATGTAAAGAATTAAGAAGGCGGCCGCAACTACTTCTGGCTGGGACTGCCCCTTACTAACCTTCATCTACCCGGGTTTTGATTGTGGCTCATATTATATATGTGCTTTATATGGCGCAAAGGCGGCGAACAGCGCCCCACCCTGGGCCCTGGCACGTCCGTCCGCCCGCCTCCAGGTTGTCTGCCAAGAACTTCTGATGCTCCTCGTAGAGGAGACTTGGGATCCAGTACCTCAGAAACCGTTTCGACGCTCACACCGAGGTCCTCCAGTAGAGAGGTTGGAATGAGGGTACCAACTTTTTTCTGTAGCCTATTTTATTAGCAGGGAAACCCTCCCCCAAAAAAAGGGGGAGAAAGGGCACTACTGGGGGACCGATTGGTGCAGTGCCCAAAAAGAAGGGGGCCCATTGACCGTCACGTGCTGCACACAAGTGGACCGCCATCTTCAATGAGCAAGCGGTTGCAAAGCCAAGGGTGACAAGTCTCACCTGATGAAAGCGGACTCTGCATGTTACAAGCCAAGTAGGGAGAAACGTCTGAACTTTCCATCAGAGAGCACCGCACGGGGATGGATATGGCCATGGGTCAAAATCCCGTACCCCCAGTGAACATCCCAATCCCCACTACAAAAAAAACTAAAATGGGTGGTGCGCACGGTGCACCTACCCCAAAATGGTACCATTGGTTTGACCCACAGCCATGTGTGTCCAGGTTGGCATTCCTGGAACACTTTCTGCTTCGCTTCTGCACGATCCTATCCGGCCTGGCTCATCCTCCATCTGCACGCGACAGCATTGGTTTGCTGGTTAGCATTATTTTTGATTCCTTGTTCTCATGTCCTTCCTCAGCAATACCCAGCCAGCCAACCCAAACCTCACCAGAAAATCACTGCTGAACTCCTGGAATAAACAAAACAGACGTGGGTCAACCTGCAGTTCAGTTTGAAAACAAACAAAGGTAGTTGGCTGCTCAGGGCCCCAAAAGGTGATGTTAAAACCATCTAAATAGGGGAAATAGAGCTGACACATGCTGAAAATCATGTTGGATCCAATAAGAAACAGGCATCTGGGCCATGCAAAAGTTGATTGCAAAAGCAATGCTTGATCATCCCCAGCTGGCAAAGCGTGTGATGTCTTAAAAACTAAGTTGCTTCCCCGCCTTTCTGGAACCCGGAATACCAGTACACATCAATTTTCAGCCTTTCCTAACTACGCAAAGCTTGAACTTTTCGTGCCGTACAACCATGAAGAGGCCCGACAAACTATTGACAACTTGAACAGCGAAGTGGAAACCTCAAATCCATAATGTTGACCCCAGATTAATAAACCCCGGTTTACTAATAGGGGGTTGATTCATCTAGGGTCGACATTAGGGTCAAATGCCTCCCAAATCCACCGCCTTCCGCAAGACAGATCATGGCTGCCGGCCGATTTGGGGCCCCGGCACCCAAATGGCGATACCGCACGCGAGGACGGCATATCCTGCCAGGCGACTCCGTCCGATGCGCCGTTGCCATGGGACTCGTCTCTCTCGGGTCTCGGGTTTTCGGTGTTTGGGAGGCTGTTCTGAGACAGGAAGTGTTCAAGCCCAAGAGAATCCTCACACTCATGGTGAAACATCGCTTTGCCAGAAACAAAACGAAAGAACTGGAAGACCCAACAAAACAAAAGGCAGAAAAATCCATCCCGCAGTGATTTCGCTGACCGTCAAGCAACTCGAGCAATCAAAACCTGGAAGGGTTCAGGGTCCAGGGTCGGAGTTGTCCTTTTGCACGGAACTCCTGTTTTGGTTGGCTGTTAGATTCAAACAGAAATAGACGATACTGGACGGAAACAAACCACTTCATTACTCCCTTTTCCACAAAGCCAGGTCCTTCGACCACGACTCGACACCAGTACGGCAGCCTTGCTTTGACGACTCCTGACTCAAATCTCCACACGTCATCGTGCTGGACATGTACTAACATGAGCTTTGGCGCCACGTGCGGTCCTTTCAAAAATGTGGAGAAGTTGTCGTCCATCCCTGTTGGTTCGTGCTGCTTGCCTTTATACATTTTGAGCTATCAAAATGACACAGGATGAAAATTCGGACCGTACAAGGGGCCACTTCTGAAGGGGTGCTTCGACCAGCGTCCTTCAGATTCAAATCTGCCCTTTTGGAAAAGTGTCACGCATGTAGGCAAGCTTCGTCACGCCAAAATCAGCTGCATTTTGCCCAGTATGAAAGAAGGGCACGTTTAGAAGGACACTCCAAGGCCCAAGCAAAAAAGAAGCCTCGTTTTCTTTCTTTCAAGCTGTTGAAGCAGAAGAACTTGCTTTTAAGAGCGTATCTCAAGGAACCGCCTTGTTTCCTTAGGGCTCCCTATATTTCCCCTCAAAACATCGCCCCCACCAAGGGACACTCACCTTTCATGGGCCAAAAAGGTGATGTTTAAAACCGCCAAAATGGGAAACATAGGGACGCCTGTTCCTCAGGCAGCGCCCAAACAGAACAACCGGAAGAGGTCGCTTGCCCGCACCTAGGGCTGTCCGCAAGCCGCGCCAGAGGGCTTTCAGCATCAGGCCCTGAGCTTCCCAAACTCGAGCCCTCCCCCCCCCGGATGTGGCGATCCGTTTTGGCGTGCTGTTCTTGTTCTTTTAGAATAAGCTCAGGTGATATCCCCAACAGCATGCGGTGCTCTATTGAAAAAATGTTGGTACCCTCTGGAACTAAGCCAGATTCGGGATAGGCAGGAAACCCCGATAGGCCCTGAAACACTGTGTGATGCATCCACTGGAACCGCGTCCCCTGCGCCGGCGCAGTCCGGCTAAACCCCCCAGTCAAACCCACTTGTTGCCAAAAGGCTGAATCGGCAAAATGGCAACAGTGCCATCTCTACTCTTGGTATGGTAGCGAAAAACTTTGTTTTGCAGACCCCCAGTAAAAATGAACAGAACCAAAAAAAACAAAAAAAACATGCCAAGAACACCTGGTGAATCAAGTATGGTCTCTCAGTGAAAGTTCAATGGAGCAACCAAGCTGAGGTATACGAACCTTGCGTGACACTTGTAAAATGGGAGACCCTTGTTGTCAGCGTTTGGAGGGTCAAGCCTTCAGTCCACTAGCTGGGCTTGGCCGTTGTTCTCTACAACTCCATCTCCCAACAACAAGTGCCTGGAGATTCATTCTCCGGCCTTTTTCTAGGCGTTTTGGTTTCCTGGTAGTTTTGGGCGTGTTCGGCGTTCTAAGTGACTTCTAGGAGTTTTGGCCTGCCCCCACTGATGGTTGTTTTTCTTAACAAAAACATCGGCGGTACACATTCCCGCCGGCCGCCCGACGCTCAGATTTTTGGCCCGGCGCCGTTGGGGCCGGCGTGGGCGCAGCAGCGGCGGCCGCAGGGTCTTGTGCTACCCTGGGCTCGTCATCAAATGTCTGGTTCGGGTGCACGAGCGCAATCTTCTGTCCCGGACTATCTCCAGCCACTCAACCAACAACAGCAACGTGTGTGAAGTCTTCAAGGGGTGGAATAGCCATACATGTCGGGCCGGCAGGCTGACATTGAAAAGGGCATGCCGCAAACGTTTCCACTAACATGTAACCTGACTGACAGAGCCTACCACTTTCCAGTAAAAGGGACCCTCTGGTGGCTTCCATGTCAGTGGACAGGAGGGCAAAGCAGTCGAACAACAGGGTGTCATGCTGTTCCCACTGATCCGACAGACAATGAGATAGCCTGACTGCCTCTCGACTTCATACGATATAGGCCTGTTGTTGCTATATGGAAGCCAATTGATTTTTCTCAGTGCGCCTGCAAAAGGTGAACTTGGTTGCTCTTTGGGTTGACGTGGACAAACCTGCGATTCTTTCCTTGTAGGAGCCCACACGTGTTGCCTTCCACACAACAGGAATTGGTTGCTCTTTGAAGATTCAACCATCTATGCTGTGGGAAGTGACCTCCTTGCTCTTGATCAAGATGAAGTGCGTGTTGTTTGTTCCGAGCCATCGGGCGTTGGAAGGAAAGTCACCATACAATTCTGGCAACAATCATTCATGACAAATTGTCACCTCTACATTGCTGAGAAATCTTACAGGTTCCACAGGCTTTGTTGCCGGCCGGTTGCTGTCTCGCGGTCTGTGGCCAACTTGCAACAAAACAGGCCACCCCCTCTGTGAGGTCTAAGGCGTTCTGAGCGGGGTGACAAAAAGTCGAACTGGGAAATTCGTCCTTGAGTATGTTGTTTATATTTATGCTACAAAACCAAACACACATCTAGGTCCTCCAGTGGAGAGTTTAGAATAAGGGTACCCTTTGTTTCTCGGTAGCCTATTTTTAGCAGGGGAACCCTCCCCCGAAAAAGGGTAAAAGGGCATCACTGGGAGACCTAGACATCGTCGCTGGACAAAGCAGCTGTATAGGAATATCTGCCCCAAAATGAAGATGGTCCCTCCCATCCCTCCCCCCAACGTAGACTTCAGCTTTTGCCCCAAACAGAATGTAGCTATTGTCCATATTCTGCAAACATTGGCATATCATAATGCTGACTTAATTGGGTGCTGCTTTAAAGTACCGAACAACCCTGTCATAAACATTTAAGCCCTCACAGTAACCAGCAAAACTACCCATTGGAACCTTTCACTCAATACGATTGGCCACCCCATAGCTGTCTGCTGGGGTATGGGCATCTTAACTGTAGCCTCACCACTCCAGTCCGGTGTTCCTCTTAACCAGTTTCGGGGGCGGTAGATTTTGGTAGCCTACCAAACAAAAGGGATTGGAGCGCGCCGCTGAACAACTTGCATCTTGTGACGGTGTGTTGTGCTTTGCCTTAAACCCAAAAGCAACCACTCATGTGGATCACCATGAAAGGTGCCCTCATCATGGGGTGAAGTCACTACACTTTTGCCACGGTATCATAAGCCCCGACTTTGTCCTTTCAGGGGAGGATGACAGCAAATGGTGGATTCTTCGGGTCTAGGATTTCGCAGCATATCTTGGGGCATATTAGATGCCCTGCCCAATCCCCAGTGCCTTCCCAACTCCTGGTACTAGTATGGCAGCAAAAACATATTGATTCTCCAAAGCCTTTGAAGACATCAGCAGTCCCTTGAATTAAAAACCATCCCCCCTGCTGTAGGGGCCCCCAATTCCATTGATCTAGTCTTCCCAATAAAAGGGAACAAACCTGAAATGGATTTTTTTAGGGGTCACCCCTCCCCCATATTTGAGGGGCTGGGGATATTGGACTTGGTGGGTTCAATGTGGCCATGAGGTTCGGTAAGGGAATCCTTAGAGGGCCGTGTCCAGGCCCCCGGCTGCAAAGCCGCCTCAGTTGGCTCGGCTTTTTCTTTTTCTTTTTGGGATCCCTTCGGGACCCGTGAATCTAGGGGTACTTTAGTACAGGAGAACACAAAATGAGACCTTGGAGGTTTTGCAGCAGCCTCCCTTGGAGTTGTTTCAATCATTCTAGGGGTACTTTCCCTATTCTGTCCAGGGATCCGAATCTTTCTAGAAAACCTCCTTTGAAACCCAGGGAAAATTGCCATTTTTTGGGGAAAGAACGACGCTTAAAAAGAATGGGGAATCAACCCCTAGAGTGAACCGCTCACTGAACATTTCCCACTTTGTGTCATCCAAACCAACATTTTATTCAAAACTTTCCTAGGGGCAAAGAGCTCGCCAGTGAACCAGCGCAAAAGCGGCAAACCCACGGATTTCGAGGGGTCCGAAAAAGGGGTACCCTAGGGCTTGCCCTATAGGAGCCCTGAATGACCTGAATGAATTCGCAAAAGCTGACATTGGCTTGGCCCTTAGCATGAAGCAACCTTGCCAATATGGCAGCTCTCAGGACAAGTGCACGGTACCACCTCTCCGAGCTTCCGTTTGCTGAACCCCCGCCGGAAAAAAGATCCGGTAGTGATCGGTTCCTTTTAAAACCAACAGGGGAACATGAAACATATTCTTAAACAAATGGAAGTGAGTGAAACCGTGAAAAGCTTTGTAATATCGGGATCAGGTGTCAGGTGCGCAGGCGGGCTTTGGCACTTTTTGACTTGCTTGCGCGAGCCTCTGCGTGGATTGGCGTGCTGGAGGTTGCAGGGAGACTGCTGCAATGAGAAACATGCACAGCACACTGGCGCAGATAAATTTGCCTCGAGGACTCGCGAAGAGCAGTTGGAGCGACAAATTTGCTCCGAGGACTTGCGCAGAGAAGCTTGAATGGAGATCTTGCGTAAACTTGCAGAGTGAACTTGCGCAGAGACGGCTAGCGCAGAGAACATGTGAGCGCGGCGCTATATGCTTTCGGGCCACCGGTCCTTCTAGTTGCAGCAAGCTGAAGCTAGGAACGCCACCTCCAAAAGGGGCAACCAAGAAAAGCACTCAAACTCAAAACCCACAAGCCGCAAGCCGCCGACAAAACAACAACGCTCCCCCCGAGCTCACCGGAATATGGAAAACATGTGGAAAACATGTGGCTTCCCCTTGCTGCCTTTTCCAGAAAATTGATTTCCAATGAAGCATATCGTGTGGCCAGGCGCGGCCGAACATCCGGTGCCACTAAGCTATACCTCCTGTGCCAGTTATACAGGCGCTTGGACCATCCTGGTGTGTGTAGGGGTGTCTACGTGCACCTGTGTCTGTGCTTGCACGCGTGTGTCATTCACATCCAGTGATTGGGGCTTGACGCAAGGGCCTTTCAGCCAGATTCTTCTTTGTTTCCTTTGCATGACTGTGCCTGGGGCTGAGGAAGGAGCAGTTGACTTGACAAGTGTGGAACTTCTGAAGCGTGGTGTGTTTGCAGTGGACTTGTTACCCAGCGGCGCTTTAAAACATGACAACCCCTGCAATCGCAACAACAGCTGACATGGCTGCCGCAATATGAGCCCCATGTCCCAATTCCCCATCCTTCGCGGTGTGACAAACGGTCAAAATCCAAAGGTAAACAGAAGAGATAGTATTGGCCGACCTGCCCAAGCAGAAAGGCTGGAACGCAATGGGTGTGTCGAATGTGTCAAAGTAGGGAAGCCTCTCAAAATCATTGGTCTCCAACAAAACACACACACACACACACATCATATCCAAATGGACCACGGGTCTTTCCCGTATAGGCAACTCAAGGCTTCCCAAACAAAAAGCACGGGGCTGGGTTCTCAGGGTGAAATCTCATTGTACAAGGGGCTTCAATGCATTGAAGTGTCCCGAAACAATCCGCTCCCGCTCCCAGATCTGAGACGCCACACAGGGAGACGCCTGGCGGGTGACATAGCCAGGCTATCCTTTCAAAAGCGGAAACTGATTGAATGCGTGTTACATACATATGTATGTATATTGCTATATATTTACATACATATAAATATATACCTTGACATATTCATGTGAAGCTGTAACGGGACCCCTGTGAGAACGCCCTTGATCCCTCAAGAAAAGCCAGTGCAAGCCAAACGCAACAGACTCCCATAGGTAAATCAGGCGACAGCCAGAACTGTCCACCCGCATGGCAAGGATGCACTGTCCATCGCACTGATTCCCACATATTGCAAGCGAACCAAACATACATTCATCCAAGACTGCAGGTTAGCCCATGAGCCGTAATTGGACCGAGTTTCGGCAACCAGAAGCTCACACTGTGCTTCGCTTGGAAAAAGACCATGGGCAACACCTTCAAGAGCACGCAGCACATGCCTATGCACATGCCTCATGCTGCAAAAGCCCCGTTGTCGATGAGCTTCCAGCGAGCTTGCCAAAGAATCAATTGATTTCCGTGACACCAACCTTCCTGTGCCAATGGCCGGGGCCGCGAGGAAAACAGCCGTGGGCTTGGAGAAGCTTGGAGTTCCTTGATGCCAGGCCAAAAAAACTCGCAGTCACTGCGCATAAGGCGAAGGCTGGTGGCTTCTTTTCAGGTGGCTTCGCTCCTTTCCTGGGCTCCTTTTAGTGTGAAAAGCCGAGGAAACGAGATGATCAAAACGGACGGGGGTTGAAGTAGACCAGCTCGGTGCAACAAGAGGTCACAAAGATGGGTTCATGGTGCACCCCCTTTGCACATGGTCCCAAAAAGGAGCTCTCTTTTTTCCGATCCTACATGGATCCTTGGGCAAAAGAAAAGGGCAAAGTACAATTCACAAAGACCTAATTCATGTGAGTGGGTAGAAAAAGGACCCCCCTTCATCCACTGCCCCCGAAGCAAATTGGATGGGGAAAGTGGGAAAACTAAAAGTAAAATTGCTGATTTAGTATTGTTTGTGCTCGTCCAGTACTGCTTCGTGCTGGCTTTGAATTGTTGTAGTGTTGCTGGGTGATGCCAAGTGCCCGCAAAAAATATAGCTGACGGCCACCCAGGAAAAAATGAGGAATTATTGGGCGTCAATAAAACCATCTGCATTTCCTCCCCACAAAACAAATATGGGTGTGTTGTCTTTTGCGGGTACCCCCAAAACAAATAGGGCAGTTTTTTGTGGATACCAAAAGGACAACCACCTGGATCGCCAGTTGCTGTTTGTCCAGTGACTGAACAAAGCAGCAACTTGGCTATCTAGGCACTATGTTGGGGGGGTCCCCAACACACAACCTGTTTTCACTTCAGTTCAGCCCATTGACAGACCAGCTCGGCCTCGCATCCGCCCTTCGCAGGCGCGGCGCCTCAAGTTGTCAAGGCATCCGTCGCTCGCGATCGGAGCCAAAGAATTCGCAGAAGGCCCCGTCCAAAAAAAACGCCGCCAAAAACTATGGAATTTGCGGGCCGCATTTGTTCTTTAGGGACTCCCCCAAGACAAAATAAGTTGAGTTCCGTTTTTGTGCGCCTTAAAACCACGAAAAACGGGCCGTTTAGGGCCTTTTGGTGTTGGAACCGGACGCTCCCTTCCAAGCAGAATTCACCAACAGTCCTTACAGCAAATGGTCTGCGCGGAACGTATCCGAACGAACGAATCCCGGTCTCTGAGCGCTGAGTGCGCGAGCTTTGAGTTTGGGGGTGGCCAAATAAAGCAAATCCAATACAAAAGCACAGCAACAACTTGTGTGTGGAATGTATCCCTGAATTGGTGGTTTAAGAGTCGTGGCTTGAGAAGTTGAAAGCCTGACTCTTCCAAGACCCCCGCCTGAGTAGCATTGGCATCTGCAACATCTGCTGACCTGCCAGCGCTAGCGCAGCCCAACTGTTCATGCACCACCCGTGTTGCCCGCAGGGGCAAACCGAACGAAGCATCTGGCTCCACTACTAAACTATCCAGTTGAGGAAAATACAAGTAACAAGTAGCATATTGTCTGTGTCTGAATGCCCCGTCCAAAATGGGTAGTTCCCCTTTGGTGTCCCATTGACAAAGCCCCAAAACGGACCTCAACAGAAAATCTCACCCAGTTCAATTCACCAACCAGTCCCCCAGAGATGCACCGTCGTAGCTCGATCGCAAACCTAAACCTGTCCGAGGGTTTCATAGTTTGCCCAGATTTGGTCGCCTGGCAAAATCTCCGTTTCGTGGACGGCTTTCAGGGGAAACAACAGTCAACGACAAGAAGCAAGCAGGTTCAGAAATCCCCTAACATAGGAAACAGCCATTTGCTCCAGCAGGGTGCCACGGCTGTCACACTCCTCCTCCAAACCAAGACTCAAAACCTCCCATCCCCCCCCACGTATTAGTCTCCAAGATTCTCCTCAGCTGCCTGAGTACCTTGGCTAAAGTTCTCCGGGCTTAGGAAAGAGCAGTTTTGACAGATCCTGAACACTTTCTCAAGGCTGGGTTCACTCTGCGATCCTGCAATTCTGGCCTTCAGCCCAGCCAAATGTCACATGACTCTTGAAAATGCCCAAGAAAGTCCAAACCGGTTGAAATGAAAGTAGTGGGGCAAATGCTCGGAAAGATCTTAGGGAGGAAAGGGGGGGGGAAGATCTTAGGGAGGAAAGGGAGAAGATCTGGGAGAAAAGGACTTAGTGGGGAAAGCCCAACAGGGAAAGGGGGGAAAAGATCTTAGGAAGGAAAAGGGAGAAGCTCTCAGGGGGGGGAAAGGCCTTAGGGGGGAAAGGGGGAAAAGGATCTCAGCAGGGAAAGGGGGGGGGGGGAAGATCTTAGGGAGGAAAGGGAGAAGATCTGGGGCACAAAGGCCTTAGGAGGGAAAGGGGAGAAATGATCTCAACACGGAAAGGGGTGGAAAAGATCTTAGGGAGGAAAGGGAGAAGATCTGGGGCACAAAGGCCTTAGGAGGGAAAGGGGAGAAATGATCTCAACACGGAAAGGGGTGGAAAAGATCTTAGGGAGGAAAGGGAGAAGATCTGGTGGAAAAAAGGCCAACAGGGAAAGGGGGGAAAGATCTAAGGAAGGAAAAGGTAGAAGCTCTCAGGGGGGGAAAGGCCTTAGGCGGGAAGGATCTCAACAGGGAAAGGGTGGAAACAATCTTAGGAAGGAAAAGGGAGAAGATCTGGAAAGGGCTTAAAGGGAAGGGGGGAAAGGATCTCAACGGGGAAAGGGGGCAAAGGATCTTAAGGAGGAATAGGGAGAAGATCTCAGCGGGGGGAAAGGCCTTAGGAAGGAAAGGAGGGAAAGGATCTCAACAGGGAAAGGGGGGGAAAGATCTCAGTGAGGAAAGGGAAAAGATCCCAGGCAGTCAAAAGGCCTTAGGGGGGAAAAGGGGAAAGGATCTCAACAGGGAAAGGGGGCAAAGGATCTTAGGGAGGAAAAGGGAGAAGATCTGAAAAGGCCTTAGGGGGAAAAGGGGGAACCAAGGGAAAAAAGATCTTGGGGAGGACAAGGGAGAAGATCTCAGGGGGGGAAAGGCCTTTGGGGGGAAAGGGGGGAACGGATCTCAACAGGGAAAGGGGGCAAAGGATCTTAGGGGGGGAAAACGCCTTAGGGGGGAAAGGGCGGGAAAGGATCTCAACAAGGAAAGGGAGGAAAAGATCTTAGGAAGGAAAAGGGGGAAGATCGCGGGGGGAAAAAAGGCCTTAGGGGGGAAAGGAGGGAAAGGATCTCAACAGGGAGAGGGGGGAACACATCGTAGGGAGGAAAAGGGAAAAACTCAGAGGGAGAAAGGGCCTTAGGGGGGAAAGGGGGAATGGATCTCAACAGGGAAAGGTGGCAAAAGATCTTAGGGGGGGAAAACGCCTTAGGGGGGAAAGGGCGGGAAAGGATCTCAACAAGGAAAGGGAGGAAAAGATCTTAGGAAGGAAAAGGGGGAAGATCGCGGGGGGAAAAAAGGCCTTAGGGGGGAAAGGAGGGAAAGGATCTCAACAGGGAGAGGGGGGAAAACATCGTAGGGAGGAAAAGGGAAAAACTCAGAGGGAGAAAGGGCCTTAGGGGGGAAAGGGGGAATGGATCTCAACAGGGAAAGGTGGCAAAAGATCTTAGGGGGGGAAAACGCCTTAGGGGGGAAGGGCGGGAAAGGATCTCAACAAGGAAAGGGAGGAAAAGATCTTAGGGAAGGAAAAGGGAAGATCGGGGAAAAAGGCCTTAGGGGGAAAGGAGGGAAAGGATCTCAACAGGGAGAGGGGGAACACATCGTAGGGAGGAACAACTCAGGGAAAGGTGGATCTCAACAGGGAAAGGGGGCAAAGATCTTAGGGGGGGAAAACGCCTTAGGGGGGAAAGGGCGGGAAAGGATCTCAACAAGGAAAGGGAGGAAAAGATCTTAGGAAGGAAAAGGGGGAAGATCGCGGGGGGAAAAAAGGCCTTAGGGGGGAAAGGAGGGAAAGGATCTCAACAGGGAGAGGGGGGAAAACATCGTAGGGAGGAAAAGGGAAAAACTCAGAGGGAGAAAGGGCCTTAGGGGGGAAAGGGGGAATGGATCTCAACAGGGAAAGGTGGCAAAAGATCTTAGGGGGGGAAAACGCCTTAGGGGGGAAAGGGCGGGAAAGGATCTCAACAAGGAAAGGGAGGAAAAGATCTTAGGAAGGAAAAGGGGGAAGATCGCGGGGGGAAAAAAGGCCTTAGGGGGGAAAGGAGGGAAAGGATCTCAACAGGGAGAGGGGGGAAAACATCGTAGGGAGGAAAAGGGAAAAACTCAGAGGGAGAAAGGGCCTTAGGGGGGAAAGGGGGAATGGATCTCAACAGGGAAAGGTGGCAAAAGATCTTAGGGGGAAAACGCCTTAGGGGGGAAAGGGCGGGAAAGGATCTCAACAAGGAAAGGGAGGAAAAGATCTTAGGAAGGAAAAGGGGGAAGATCGCAGGGGGAAAAAAGGCCTTAGGGGGGAAAGGAGGGAAAGGATCTCAACAGGGAGAGGGGGGAACACATCGTAGGGAGGAAAAGGGAAAAACTCAGAGGGAGAAAGGGCCTTAGGGGGGAAAGGGGGAATGGATCTCAACAGGGAAAAAGGGAAAGATCTTGGGGGGGAAAACGCCTTAGGGGGGAAAGGGCGGGAAAGGATCTCAACAAGGAAAGGGGGGAAAAGATCTTAGGAAGGAAAAGGGGGAAGATCGCGGGGGAAAAAAGGAGGGGGGAAAGGGGGAAAGGATCTCAACAGGGAGAGGGGGGAAAACATCGTAGGGAGGAAAAGGGAAAAACTCAGAGGGAGAAAGGGCCTTAGGGGGGAAAGGGGGAATGGATCTCAACAGGGAAAGGTGGCAAAAGATCTTAGGGAGGAAAAGGGAAAGAGGGGGGAAAGGGCGGGAAAGGATCTCAACAAGGAAAGGGAGGAAAAGATCTTAGGAAGGAAAAGGGGGAAGATCGCGGGGGAAAAAAGGCCTTAGGGGGGAAAGGAGGGAAAGGATCTCAACAGGGAGAGGGGGGAAAACATCGTAGGGAGGAAAAGGGAAAAACTCAGAGGGAGAAAGGGCCTTAGGGGGGAAAGGGGGAATGGATCTCAACAGGGAAAGGTGGCAAAAGATCTTAGGGGGGGAAAACGCCTTGGATCTCAACTCTTAGGAGGAAAAGGGGGAAGATCGCGGGGGAAAGGCCTTAGGGGGGAAAGGAAGGATCTCAAAGGTCTCGTAGGGAGGAAAAGGGAAAAACTCAGAGGGAGAAAGGGCCGGGGGAGGGAAAGGTGATCTTGGGGGGAAAACGCCTTAGGGGGGAAAGGGCGGGAAAGGATCTCAACAAGGAAAAGGGGGAAAAGATCTTAGGAAGGAAAAGGGGGAAGATCGCGGGGGGAAAAAAGGCCTTAGGGGGGAAAGGAGGGAAAGGATCTCAACAGGGAGAGGGGGGAAAACATCGTAGGGAGGAAAAGGGAAAAACTCAGAGGGAGAAAGGGCCTTAGGGGGGAAAGGGGGAATGGATCTCAACAGGGAAAGGTGGCAAAAGATCTTAGGGGGGGAAAACGCCTTAGGGGGGAAAGGGCGGGAAAGGATCTCAACAAGGAAAGGGAGAAAAAGATCTTAGGAAGGAAAAGGGGGAAGATCGCGGGGGGAAAAAAGGCCTTAGGGGGGACTCCCAAAGCCTCAGACCAGGCCCAATTCCCGCGGCAAGGGCTGCCAGCGACAGAAGGATGATCCACCTGGCAAAAAGTCCAACGCTCCGGGGAATGAATCTAAATTCAGGATACTCGCCAACCGCCAATCGTACCGGCAACCCAGTTGCGGAACCTATCGGAACAGGTCTTGCCCGAACAGGCTGGCTCGCTTGCACGCAACCGAACAGAACCTTTCGCTGCGGGCCATGTTCAGGACCGAACAGAACTGCTTGCCGGGTAGAGCCGAACCGAACAGAATAGGTCACACCACGCAGAACCGCAGAACCGTTTCAGACGAACCGAACCGAACCGAACCGAACCGAATAGGCCACAGCTGGCTGCTACAAACGCATCTGGGAGTGCACGGGGATTGCGCGGGGAGGAGAATTCAGAATTCAGCTCGTTTCATGCATTGACTGTTGGTCCTACTAGGTGGTGAACAACGGGTGTGTGTCGCTTTCTTAGGGTATTCCTTGTTAGGTTGGATTCTACAGGGAATCCAACAGGAAAACCTCCTCCTTCAAATTGCATGGAAGGAAGACACCTGCACCTCGTGTCAAAGAAAGCATGGCAAAGGCACAAAGGCAGGTTGCAAGTACATGAGCAAGCAAACCCTGAAGTGACCAAACAACTTCCCATGTGTTTGCTGTGGCTCTTCAAACAAACACAACCCAATGTGCAAAACAAATAGCGTGATGCTGCATCTTGTGTGGTCTTGCAAAATGGGATCTGGGGTCAGAAGCTGTAGGATGATTCTCTCACCCGAAAATGGCGAGTCTCTGCTTTCCTCTTGATGCCACACAAGGGAAAGCTCCCCAGAAAACGGCTGAGAAGCGATCCACACCTCTAGTGTGCGAAAACAGGCACCTTGATTTTGCGTTTAATGGAAGCCCCCTCCCAAACACAAGCAGGGGAACAACAAACTGCCACTCTTGCTGGTGAAAATGGAAGGACCTTCCAAGAATGACACGGGCACATGTCCGGTGGCCATGGGAACAAACGGCATCCTTTTTTGGTGGAGTTTAAAGGGGAACCCTTCCCCCCCAGACAAAGAAAGAAAACAGATCGGCGGCGCTGGGCAGGGTTTGACACAGGTCCCGACGCCTCATCCTTCGCCCGGCAGGAGCTTCATTTGGGCCGAGGCTCCGGCGGATGGCGCGAAGGGTCGAAGAGGGTTCTATGCTGCCCCGTGACATCAGCCCAACTCAAACTTGAATTCAAATCACTGGCCTCATTTTGCTATGATCAAAGTCACCCCTAAGTGGTGGGTTAAAGGGAAACAACCGATTCCATTTTCTGACTTTGATAACCTCCAGAAACCGTCAAAACAACGACCACAGAATCAAGAGGAGAAGTAAGGGACGGTCGTTGCGAAGCCCTGCCAGGCTTAGAACCTTAGTTGGCCTTACTGGGGAGGGGGGGTAAGGCCAAACAAGGCCAACTTATGCCCAGCATCTTCCCTAAAAAGGATCCAAGACTGTCCAATGGAGGCCCCCTCTCCGTCCCAATGCGGGGAAGATCTTCCCTCAGCTTCTACACGCACGAGTAATACATGTGATCCTTTGAGGATATCCCTGTGGTTTTAACGGGAAGCCAAAGGAACGAACAAAACCCACTCAAGTTCTCTTGTTTGACGTTGGAAGGGGAGCAAAAATTCTCAAATTTTAGCAGTTAAGTGGTTGGATTTCAACCACTAAACCACAATAAGCAAAAATGGGAGAAATGTTTCCCGACAACAACCATGTTCTCCTCTTCGAATCGCTGCATTGGGATTCAACCGACCTCCAACAGATTCCAGGAATTCGGCCCCTTAATCAGTCCAAGGAAGTCGGAGACTGAAGCACTGAAGCACCTGCAAAACACCAGAGCTGGGTGAAATCCACAACGAGGTCCTCCAGATTTGAGAGATTAGACTAAGTTGGCACCATTTTTTTCCGGAATCGTCTATTTTAGTAGGGGAACCCAAAACCCCAACCAAAAAAGGGGGTAAAAGAAAGGGCACCAATTGCTGGGGGACCTAGACAACAAAACACCACAGTGGGTGGAATCCGAAAAGTCACTCACTCGTAAGGGTTGTCTCCATTTCGGTGTCTCTCGATTCGAATGGAATCGAAGCTATCGGTCAAACCAGCTCTAAGCCATGATGGAAACATGATATTACCCGCTATAGACATCTGAATTCGAGTGAGCCTGTTCTTGCGGAACTTGATGAATGCCCCATGTTCCAAACTTTGAATTGATCCAAGAAACGCAAGAACCCATATGGAGCGTGATGCGATGATTTGGGCAAAACGGCGCAAGGTGAGAGTAGGTAGCGAACTCAATCCAACAGTGTTCAACTATGTGCATCCCAAGCTAGCGCTTGGCTGGCACATGGGCTCAGTTGCTGCAAAATGATGCATGAGTCCCCATCACCATAGGATCATGCTCACCTGCCATGGTCGATGTTCAACCCCAAACCTGGATCCAAATCGTTTCTACTTGAGAAAAGGGCAGACATGTCAGCTGGCCCAAAGAGCCAACGGCCAAACATGGACCACGGGAAGCAGCAGACTTGCAGTTTCTTTGCGGTCGCGGCGTGGACGGTGCTAGGCTTCAGCACAAGCCGGCCTAACCGAAGCCTGGGAAACCTTCGCAGGTCTCTACGACATGCCGACAAGGGGAAACTACAAGGTGTGAGGGAAGCTTTGTTAACTCACCCTCCAATGAGCTGTCTTAACATGTCTTAACATGCCAGTGAAATGGCCGTGGGTCAAAATCCCGCACCCCCAGTGAACATCCAAATCCCCACTAAATTAGACTATACATGGGGTGCTGAATTCACCAACCAACCAAAATGGGATCCCAAAACGGTTTTGACCACCACCGCCAACTAGGGAGCCCGATGGAAGCAAATTTTGCTGGCGGATTGGTCGGTCGGGCCAAACCACTGAGGTCCAGATGTCACGTGATTTAAGTGAAAACATAGAAACTGAATTGCAGAGCCCCCAAACGAGGCCATGCGATCAACTTCCCCGAAAGGAGATCAAACCAAAGCCCCGGTGTTTCACGAGGCCATACGTACATGAACTTCCCCGAAAGGATATCAAAGCCCCATGCGGTGTTTCAGATCTGAGCCTGAGTACGCGAATCCTGATACTCAAGCAAGAAAAGTGCTCCATGCAAAAGAAACACATATCTCTTTTGAGGGTAATGCTCCCTACATCCACCGAGTATGTTCGCCCGTCAGCATTGAAGTCCAGGCCGAATCGGCTCGGCTCACACGGGAAAGCTTCCAGTAGCTCCCGCGTAGCCAGCACCCGTGATGATGGCAGCCTACCAATGGAAAGCCATGCGGGACCGTGCATTGATGCCAGACAATGAATTTATATACGTACCAGCCTGTTTCCTTTCCAAATGCAAGGCTTGCTCAACAAAACTAGAGTAGAAATGTAGCTCAAGGACACTAGACAGGTTCTACCAACTGCTTTAGCTTTGTTCAATGCTCGCAGAACCCAACACACATGGGACCAATGGTTAATTTGGTTCCCAGATAGAGTTCCTTGTGGGGTTCTGTGCCTGTGAAGAGTGCCTGACCAGACTTAGGACCCCCTGCACAACGTTAACTCTTGCTGATGAAACGAGAAAATTATGGAAAACCGAAAAGGCAAAGAGTTAAACGTGCAGGCCGAGTCTGGCAATGTGGCAATGAGCGAGACCCTCACGGCCAACTTGAGACTTGCTATTTGGCCGGCCATTTCGCTCATTGCCACATTGCCAGACTCAGCCTGCATGTTCAACTCTTTGCCTTTTCGGTTTTCCATAATTTTATCGTTTCATCAGCAAGAGTTAACGTCGTGCAGGGGTCGAAGTCAAGCACTCTTCACAGATTCACAGGCACAGAACCCCACAAGGAACTCTATCTGGGAACCAAATTCGCCATTGGTCCCATGTAGTTCAGGCCTCGAGCCACGCGCGGGGTAGCTCACCTGAGCTACCCTCGCTAGACTTCACAAGACCCTGGCACAAAGGACAGCCAAATTCGGCCATCTCCTGTAGACTTGGCCTAAGACTTCTCCGTGTCCGGCCAAGGAAATGACCCCATTGCCACAAATTGAGGGGATTGTGGGAGGAAATGACCTCACCCCAGGGCCACAACCTCATTGCCACAAAACCTCAGCGCCCCAGAAATTGAGGGTGAGCCTTTGATATTGCCCTGTTCAGGTGAAAAGGTTTCATTTCAGTTGGTGTCAACATGTTTGCCAAGGATCGGGAAGGGCCCAACCAAGGAACAACCAACCAACCAACTCAAATCAAGAAAACAACTTTTCCCAAACCATCGACCCACCCGTCCACCCACTCACCAACAACAGCACCTTCCGGGTTCATGGAGGGTTGACAAATTTCACACTCAGAATTACTATTGGGGAAGCAGTGCGTACGACCAGCTCCTTTCGTAATCCAATGGAAGGATCCTGCGGATTTCCTTTGAACAGCCCAAACACCAGGAAACCTCCAGCAGATGTTCAACATGGAACCCAAAGAGGGCTCTCCAAAAAACCGTGGGTTCCATGAAAAATTTTGGTTTCCAAGTCTGAGGGACATATCAAAGAAGCCAATGGCAAACGCCAAGTCTAATGATCGACAGTGCCTCATATGGGTGGTTCTTGCTTCATGAACCGACCTTAGACAAATGACACTATGCCAACCTATGCAAGCTGCCCCAAGCTTGGCTTGGCAAACCGCAGGCCCAAAGTCATTAGAAGCTGAGATCGCCTCCAAATCCGAGATTCACGTCCACTGAGGTGGTGCCATATTACCCTCTTTCCAACAAACATGAAAATCGACGTTTGGGGCTTGAACCCTTCTGCCAGCTCTATTTTGGTCACACAAATTCGTTGGAAACGAGTCCATGTCCGCATGCCTGCCAATTGAGCCCTGCACAGTGGCACAGACCGAGCATGTCTGCAATCAATGGCACCATATTGGTGTGTCGATTGTTGAGGGCACCCTCCTTTGGTTGATTTAAGGGGAAACCTTAGGGTCCCCTACTATTTTACAATTCATTTCCGCGTACCGCCTTTTATGTTGTGTTGAGGGGTACCCAGCTATTTTGAGGGGTCAACAACAAAGACAGACCCAGACTTCGGGTCCTCAGTTTAACTTCTAGGTCAAATGGACACTCAACCTCTAAACACTAAAAAGCTGCAAAGCTAAGGAACCGGATGGCCGGTTGAGCCACCGAGCATATTGACATTAAACGGACACCCAACCACTAAACCATCGAGGAATCTTCCATGTAGGTGTTTTTCTGCCTCTTGCTTAAAAAGCAAATACTTGAGGCGTTTCGTTTGGGAAATGCCGTTTCATTGCCAAAGCGCCGTTTGGCAGTTGTTGCAAACATGCCTGCAAAGTCGGTTGGGAAAAGTCGCCCGTCGGTCGGAGAAAGTCGCCTTTTGGTCGGGAAAAGTCGCCTTTTCAATTTTGCGGGGCCTCTCCTAGAAAACGAAAAGCGCACAAACTGCCCAGAGGCACAAAAAGGCGCTGCACGCACCAAAAGGCGGTTTTTGCTGAAAAGGCAGAAAAACGGTTTCCCTTTGGAAGATCCAATCCATAAGAAGCTGATTAACCGGATAGCTGGTTGAGCCAAGCGGAATTTCCCCCCAAAACCGCGGAAGCTCCCGGGGATCCCAGCCACTCCGCCCGCCGCCGCCGCGGCGGCGTTGGAGGGACCCGAGGGACCGCCCAAGTTGCTGGGCGCGGCGGTGCTGGCACCAGCAGAGACCTGGCGTTGAGTCTGTGCTGAAAGGAATCTGGGAAGCCCCTCCCCCCAAACAAAATGGAAAAGCAACAAGCAATGTTCAACCTTTGGGTTCCCTCCCCCCCAAAAACAAACGCGACAACATGAGGTTTTCAACTTTTGGCTGCACATCACCCCCCCCCAAAAGAAAAAAAGAGGAAAAGCAGCACCAACAGATTTGTTCAACTTTGGGTTTCCCCCCCCCAAAAAAAAGAAGAAGAAGAAGAAGAAGCAACAACGTTTTCAACTTTTGGTTTCACTTCAGAAACCCCAGAACAAAGACTCATACCCATTGTAGGGTTGGTGTCAAAATAGGGGATGTGCGTTTGCTCCCTGCTGGCTTTGCTTGAACCTGAAAATGGCACC